CATGAGCACTAATTGGGTTCCCACCGAGTGCCAGGTGTGCTATTAGAACCACGGTGGACGTTGGTCTTCACAACACCTGGGAGTTTTGCTGCTGTTTTCTCCACTTCACGGATGAAGAAACAGTCTCAGAGATGTTCAGTAACTCATCCAAAACCAGGACTCCAGCCCCAGGCCAGCTCGCTCCCAAACCCACATATTCTTTCCACGGTACAACTTGTGGATCATGGATCTAGAATGAGCCTTCTAATAATCTAGATGAAGCCTTTCCTTTTGCTAGAAAGGAGAGTGACTCATCCAACATCAGGCACTACTTAGTAGCATTCTTTTATGCTTTAGTCAACATAAAGAAGTATTAACTTCTAAAACTGTTTTTAAGGAGAGGCTACTCCCCTGAAGTACAGAAACAGCACATCTTCATTTTAAAGTACCTTTTAAGGGCCTGACGCGGAGGCTCACACCTGTTGAAGTCGGAGGATTGCTTGAGCCCAGGAGTTTAAGACCAGCCTGGGCAACATAGCAAGACCATGTCTCTATAAAAAATCAAAAAATTAACTGGGCATGGTAGGGCACACCTGTAGTCCCAGCTACTCAGGAGGCTGAGGCAGGACGATTGCTGGAGCCCAGGAGTTGGAAGCAGCAGTGAGCCGTGATCTTGTCACTGGGCAACAGAATGAGTCTCTAACTCAAAAAGATAATACGTAGAAATAAAGTACCTTTTAAAAGAAAACTATGAGGCAACTTTCCTCATTAACTCATTCGTGATCGCTGACGTGAATTTACGTCTTTGCAAATTGTTTCTGAATGCTGCACCGTTGTTACATGTATGTGTTACTGTGTTTTGCTGGAAAATGATTAGTGAGGCAAGGAGAAAGCTAATTGAGGTAATTATCTGATACCAACTGCACAATATTGTTATTAATTTACATAGCTGGTAAAATTGCAAGGTGTCATTATTTTGTTGCGATTAGTGTTGTATACTTGTATTTTAGTATTTCAGGGCTTTCAGACATCGCCATTAAAAATAATTTACCATAATTATGGAAAATGAAGAAATATATACTGATGAGATTTCCAAGGTCAAAGGTGAATCCAGTGAACTTATTAGTGATAATGAGATAGATAGTGATGTGATGATGCAATGTAAACAAAGAAGTATGTGTGTGTGTGTGTGTGTGTGTGTGTGTGTGTGTTTCTATTTAGTATTAATTTTCTATTACCACAAATTTGATGTTTTGGAACAATATGAATTTGTTATCTTACAGTTTGGGGGTCAGAAGATGGAAACCAAGCTGTCAGCCTGGCTGAGTTCCTGCTGGCTGCAGGGGAGGTCGTTTCCTTGCCATTTTTGGCCTCTGAAGGCCACCAGCATGCCTTGGCTCGTGGTCCTGCCTCCCCTGCTGCTGACTGATGAACATGACGTCACTCCGCACGTCCCCCCTGCTGACCAAGGGCCCAGCCAGATAAGCCTGGCTGACCACTCCAGCTCAGGATCCTTCACTTACTCACAAGTCTCTTCTGTCCTGGGAGGGGCGTTTGCAGGCTCTAGGGATGAGGGTGTCGACATCTGGGTGGGGAGCAGCCATTTCTCTGCCTACTGCACGTGTGTTTACACCGTGTGGATGGTGGGTGCTTGTATCACACAGAAACTTTAGCCTTTTCCATCCGGGGTCATCGGGGAATCAGCCATTCTAAATGTTTTCTGTATCACTATGTCCAAGTGGTGACTTTAAAAGGTCCTCTCACAAGCACTCTCCTTCCTGCCTTTGAAGACAGTCTTCTCGGTGTCATTTTGCCCCTCCTTGCAGATCGATGGGCATCATCATACACATCATAATGCATATCAAACACAGCTGTAAATGCTCATCACAAGTTGTTGGATGCACAGAACTCAGTGGCATCTGCTTGGTGGTCCTTTTTTATCACTTGCTTGTCTGTCAGGAATGTGAAGTGAAGGGTGTCCAGCTGCCCACTCCCAGAGCAAGACAGTGCGCTGGGCTTCCTGGAAACTGAGTCAGAGCTCGGAGCAGTCTTCTGTGGGGCGAGGCGGAGGAGCACGCTCCTGCACCCCTCAGGCTCCCTGGTGCTCGCAGGGCCGTTCTGCTGCCAGTGTTCACAGCATCACTTCTGTCTCAGAGTCACCCGTGTCCTAGGGTCACAGGCAGTGTCCTGGCAGCTTGCGGTGTCTCCCTCATCTCCCCTGATTTGCTGGTAGAGCGCCTTTGCCAGTGGGACCAGGCCCATTTTTAGGGTCTTTCGCATTTAAGTAGGAAATAGCAACAACGAACATGTTGAGGTTGAGGTGCACGTATTGAGTGCTTACTAAATATTTATTTTTCTTGTTATTGGCTTAGCCTTCTGTGAAGTCTCTTCTGAAAGGATATCTTGATCTGCAGGAAAATTTAACAGAGTACCATGGGGCAGAAAAATGTTAAACATGTCTTCTGCTTCCTCGGGATATTATCCAGTCTTCCGGCTGTTTGAGCACTAGCCTGTGGTATGTTAGCTTGTTCAACAAACAAGTGGGCTCTTTCTGTATGCCGGCACTGCACTAGACATCGGTGGAAAGAAAGTACTTCCATGACGAAGTCACAGTTCGATGAGGAGGTCCTGTGCCAGGCGTGGTATAAGTAGGAATATGATAGAAGCCCTGAAGAGGTGTTGGCCCACCTGACCAAGGTAACTGCAGGACAGTTCTTACAACTCTGGAACCGTGATTTTTTTTTCTTCTAGCTTCAAAAGGTGGTAGTTGAACGAGTCTCTAGCATTAGAACTTGTAGGAGACGTCAGTCTGTCTGACCCATGAACATCGGTCAGAATAGAAGTTGACAAACACCCTTTTATTATTAGCATTATAAAACATTCAAGTGTAAAACTCTCTACCTGATTCTTTGTGTTTTCATGCTTTATTATTTTTCATCCAACTATACTTCAGTTTTCTTGAAATGCCTCCATTTAAAACACCCTTGAGTCAACAGGTAAAAATACAAACATACAAAAGCCTTTAGGAAATGGACAAGAGATATGACAGACCCTGGAGGATATCTAAATAGCACATAAACACATGAAAAAATATTCAACATCATTGGCATTTAGGGAAATGCAAATCAAAACCACAATAAGGCAGGAGTGCAGTGGCACAGTCTTAGCTCACTGCAGCCTCGAACTCCTGGGCTCAAGTGATCCTCCCGCCTCACCCTCCAAGACTAGCTAGGACTAGGACTACAGACATGTGCCATCACATCTAGCTAAGGTTTTCTTCGTCTGTTTGTTTGTTTGTTTGTTTCTGGAGATGGGATCTCACTTTATTGCTTTATTAGATTCACTAATCTCTTCTTGCCTCCATTTCATCATTTTCAAAGTGGGTACAAAAATACTACTTCTCCCCGTTGAGTCGCTTTGAGGATTCACCAGCTCAGAGTAGCGAGCCAACCTGTGGTAGATTCTGTAAAGCACCTTTTTTTTTTGAGTCAGAGTCTCATCTCACCCAGACTGAAGTGCAGTGGCACAATCACAGCTCACCTCACCATAGGCAGTCCTTCTACCTCAGGCTCCTGAGTAACTGGGACTACAGGCATGTGTCACCACACCCAGCTAATTTATTTTTTAATGTCTTTCTTATACTATTAGGATATTTTGCATAGCATATGTGTCTGTGATTTGGAATTCTCAGGGAGCCTTCCCTCGGGAGGCTCCTAAATGATATTTATCCCCGGATGTACTGGTGGGCGGCGCTTACACTTACCCACCCTGTGTGTCTTTCTTGGTTCAGAGCCCTTAGAGCTTATTGTTTTTGTATAAGACTTCTGTTAAGAACTCAAATCACTCTATAACAAAGATACCTGCACACGTATGTTTATCACAGCATTGTTCACAGTAGCAAGCACATGGGACAAATGATGCTGCCCTTCAAAAATGACTGTTATCCAGTCATTTATCAAAAATGTGGTACATATACACTATGGAATACTACTCAGCCATAAAGAAGAGCAAAATCATGAATTTCACAGCAGTCTGGATGGACTTAGAGTCTATAATACTGAGTGATCTTTCACAGAAACAAAGAACCGAGTATCACATGTTCTCACTCGTAAGCTGACCTTGAGCAATTATCGTAATACTGTAAGAAAAGGATTGGCAGTAGTGGGAAACTGCCAGGAGGGGAGAGGGGAAGTGGAATTGGCAGTAGTGAGAATCTGCCTGGGGAAGGGCGGTACACACCTCATCAACAAGGGTACCTGCATAATAAACATTTGTATATCTAACCCTGAATTGTACCCACATCTTTAAAATAAAAAATAAATAGATAAATAAAGACTTCTATTAAATAGAGTTTCAGCAGTTGTAAAACTGGTTTTGACTTCCTTTTTCTCAGTTGAAATTTTTTGAAAACATTATAACCACGTTTCAGAATTATATGTAAGACACACACAGTGGTGATCTAGCTATCATAGTGAAAAGGTGGGCTGCATGAATACTGCATTTAAAAAATGTAACTTAAGGAGGAAAGATTTATAAATTATAGCTGTGACTGATGTAGTAAATTGTAACTAATAGAGTCTGTAAGCTAGGCATATTATTTGTATACACACCCCAGTTCACGTTTTAAAACCATATTATAAAATAATACATCTTTTTACTAATATCATTCTGCTTTTTTGGTGTTTGAATTTCATATGTGTGCAAAATCCTTAAAACAACTGGAGTATAACAGAAGTTTTCTTTAACATTTTTGAGGTCATGGTGAGTTTCTCCTTATGCCTGTAATTTTGTCAGAAGTGAATTCTGTCCCCAAGACAGTACTTCTCACCAGAAGCAAAATGCCATGGTTTTGCTGTTGGCGTGTAGTTCTCTGTGCCCAGAATGACAAGTTCTAAAACCATGAATTCTGTGTATTTATTATTCTCGTGTGCCCCAGGAAAGTCAAGTGTATGTTAACCAGCGGCCGGGACCGTGTTGTCTCTTCAAAGGGGTGTGTGTAACGTCTTCCCGTTTCCTTCCAGGTCACCTTCCGAACGAGAATCTACCACTGTAACATTAACAGCCAAGGCGTGATCTGTCTGGACATTCTCAAGGACAACTGGAGCCCGGCCCTCACCATTTCTAAAGTCCTCCTCTCCATCTGCTCGCTTCTCACAGACTGTAACCCTGGTAAGAGACTGAATCCGGTGTCACCTTAGTGACTTGTTCACTGCTACTGACATCATCACTGCTACTGTTACCGTTATTATTATCATCAATTTTATTTTTTATTTTATCTTATTTTGAGTTGGAGTCTCACTCCGTCGCCCAGGCTAGAGTGCAGTGGCACACTCACAGCCACCCTAGCGTTGACCTGCTGGGCTCTGGCGATCCTTCTGCCTCAGCCTTCTAAGTAGTCGGAACTACAGGTGCGCGCTACCACACCCAGCTAATTTTTTTTTTCTTTTAATTGTAGAGACAAGGTCTTCCCAAGTTGCCCGGTCTGGTCTCAAAACCACGGGCTTAGGCAATCCACTCGCCTCGGCCTTCCAAAGCGCTGGGATTACAGGCTGAGCCACCAAGCCCAACCATTATCATTGATTTTAAATGTCCTTAGTATGTAACTGTTTACTTTTTAAATTGGGTGTTCTCGTTAGTCTTTTTATGTCCTATTATTTGCCTAAAAGGAAAAAGCATAGTGTGACAAAAATTAATGAAAAATCATTTTAGATGAGAGAGTACACTTTAAAAATGCATTAAATTCTCCTGCCAAATAATAATAAAAATTCAAATTGAATAGCTTAATCTTGAATTAGTTGCCTACCAGAAGATATTAATTTGAGTAATGTGGGCTGTTAAAATTTGATAACAACCAGGCAGCAGCACACAGACACTCCTGGTACCCATGCGTCCTGACAAACTAATAGGACACAAAACTGAATGGTCCTGATCTGGGAAGTGCCCCAAAAGTAAACTAGGCAATACAGCCTCCCAGGGAAATCAGGTGGCCATGTGTGACCAGGTCTTGTGGCTTGCTGGTGTGCCTCACACCGAGAGGCCTTCATGTCGGTGTGCTCTTAGATGTGTGACTATGTGGCTTTGACCTGTTTGTTTTAACTGAAAGACTTAGCAGTAGCCAGTTCTTTACATATTTGGGTTTATTTTGGAAAAGACAAAACTCCGCAGTCGCTATAGAGTTTTCATGGATGTTCTCAATGGGAGCATTCTTCTTTGAGTATTTAATGAATAGCTTAAATATTGCATGAGATTCCATCTTCCATACTCAGGAATCAGCTCTGTTCCTTAGATTAGTGGAATTTTAGACAAAAGAGAAACGACAGGTGTCAACAGGGTCCCTTAAGTTCCTGGCTGGCTTATAAAACATGAGGAAATTATAGTCTTTTACTTTTTTTTGTTTTTTGGAAATAACTTTATAATGAAGAAATGTAAAGACAGGATGTAAGAAAATTGTATTTTAAGTATTTTAAAGTAACAAATTGATAGTTTTTTTTTTTCTTTTTTTCGAGTCAGAGTCTCACTCCATTGCCCAGGCTGGAGTGCAATGGCACACTCCTAGCAACCGCAGCCTCGACCTGCTGGGCTCAGGTGATCCTTCTGCCTTAGCCTTCCAAGTTGCCAGAACTACAGGCATGCGTTACCATGCCCAGCTAATTTTTTTTTTTTATTATTCATTGTAGAGATGAGGTCTCGCCAAGTTGGCCAGGCTGGTCTCAAGCCCACAGGCTCAGGCAATCCTCTCATCTTGGCCTTCCAAAGTGCTGGAATTACAGGCTGAGCCACTGAGCCCAGCCAACAAATTAATGTTTTTAAATGCCAAAAAGAAGATAAAATTATGCCAGATTATTGTAAAAATGTTTGAAATTAATTCAGACTTCACTGCAGGTAGTAAGGTCTAATCATGCTGTACTGATTTAAAGTTGATTTTGTTCTTTCAATCCCACTATTCCTATTTGTCTGTGACCACGTATAACCTCGTTTGGAGCTAATGTCACAAGAAAGCTGTCTTTTGCGGGGGATGACTCGAAGCCTGTCCTGCTTTGCCTCTTGTCAGCTGAGTCGGGGGGCTGAGCAAGCCTGCACGGTAGTAGTGTCTGTTCTGTGCAGACATCTTGCTTAAGGGAATAGAGTCATTCTACCACAGCCTTTTTGTACAGTCCAGAGGGTTTCTCTCCAGTGACGAACTTTCTTTGGCTATGTCTCAGAAAATGACAGATGCATTTACAAAAAATTAAAAAGCACTCCTGACTAAAGCACATAAGTGAAAGAAATCTTTTTTTTGAAATAATGCTACGATAGAATAAGCCTAAAAATAATAATGTCCCTTAAAACCAGAGACAGCCCACCCAACAGGAGAACAGTATTTGTAAAATATACACCAACATCACCACTCTTGAACGCATGCTGAAACGTTTCCTAACGGCACCTTATTTTTCCGAATGTTGATGCTTCTAGAGTTGTCAGTAGAGTTCTCCTAACCTAGTCAGAAGGTTCGTTCTTCTGTTGAATGGACTTTCTTCACACTGTTATATGGTAACATTCACTTTCTGTAGCTTTTTTCCCCTTAGACTTAAGTTAAACTTTCAACTAACCTATCTTCAAATTAGCACAAATACAAGTTTGATAGAATATGAATAAATAAGATTTTTCTATACTGAATCTGCAGAGCTATTTTAACACCAGAAGCACTGTCAAGCAAAGTCGGCCTTACATAATGATATAGATTTAACCAACTTAAAAAATGCTTTCTTGCTCATATCCCTACATAAGCAGGTTTGTTTGGGTTTTTTTGTGTTTTTTTTTTTGGTCTTTTTCATATTCTTCCCATAATTTGCATTTGTCTCTTTCAAGAATTTTTGATCCACTCAAAAACAAATGTTACGTGTTTAGGGTTGGGCTGCACATCCCTATTAGCATGCTATTTATAGACAGCAGGTGGAGATTTTAAAACCAGCTTCACTGTTTATTAGTTCTGTGACCTTGGACGGGTCACTTACCTTTCTTCAGCCTCTGTTTCCAATACGAAGTGGGTATTGCTGCCAGCCCTCCCTAGATCCCTGGATTCCCGTGAGGGTCAAATGAGATGATGTATGTGGAAGCTGCTTGTGAGCAGTCATGTGTCATCAATGCTCCTTCCCCAAGTATTCAGGACACCCAGCGGCCATGGCACACAATAGATGACTGCTAAATGCCAACTCGGTTGGGTTTAACTGGGGGACCACCACCTCTGCGTTCGCCCGCTTGGACTTTGTCATCTGAAGACACAGAAGCCTGAGTTGGTTGTGCTGTTGTATTGTCTCTTGAGAGGGATTATCTCTCAGCTGACAGGTGTCCAGACATGGTCATCAGTGGACAGGTGCACCAAGCAATAGTCAACCTGTTCCCAGGCAGAGGCCTTGGTGGGTGACTGCCGGTCTCAGGAGGCTACCACCGTGGTAGTTTCTTGAGCCCGATAGAGCACTCTTACCAGTCAGACGTGACTTGGTGCCAGAGTTTGGCTGTGACACGTGATCAGGAAAAGCGTGGCAGCAGAGATGACAAGAGGGTAACAGCTTCCCAGATTCTCTGAATATTTAGAGATTCCTGTTTGGAGAACATGATTTAGTTTCTAAATTGCCAAGATTGGGAATACTGGGAGGAATCCAGTCTCCAGGTTTCCAGGAATGCTCTTCTGTGTAAATGCTCTCAAGTCATCATGCAGTAAATAGAAGATTTACGTTCTGTTCTACTTGGCTTCATCTTTTGAAGTTTGTTTTTGCTATTTTGTGGGCTTTAAAAAAAAAAGAGCACTTAGGTGTTTTGTAACATTCTGTATCTGAAATCTGTTTCTTTAAATACTATTTAAAATGTGCTTATGTTGCAGTCTTCACACCTATAAGTAATGGATATTTTACCAAAATACCAAAATTAACTGTTCTGAGAACATCGACAATTACGAGATAAAACAGGGAGATCAACATTCTTCCTGTACCTTATACTTTATTTACAGAGCAATGTCTAGAAATGTTTATAACCTTTTTTCCTTCTCTTTCTGAAAAATGTTTACATCTGTATATCATCTGTTATTTTGTTACTAATCTAAATTCTACTTTTCTCCTCTGTTATTTTTCTGTGTTCTTAGCTTGTTTCATTCTGAACACAATTCTGATACTATATCATTTAAAACTTTCCCCCAGGATGTATGACTCGCAAAAGACCATTGCAGATTTGAAAACAAAGCATCTGATATTGAGAAATGGCTGTCAGATATCTTTAGGCCTGATAATGGAACCGTGATTATGATTTTTTTTTTTTTTGAGTTGGAGTCTCACTCTGTCACCCCGGCTGGAGTGGAGTGCAGTGGCTGCTCCCAGCCACTGCACCCTCGACCTGTTGGGGCTCCAGCCATCCTTCCACCTCAGCCTTCCAAGTAGCTGGAATTACAGGCATGCGCTATCACGCCCGGCTAATTTTTTGATTTATTGTAGAGATGAGTTCTCACCAAGTTGCCCAGGCAGGTCTCGAACCCGCGGGCTCAGGCAATCCACTCACCTCAGCTTCCCAAGGCACAGGATTGCAGGCTGAGCCACCGAGCCCAGCTGTGATTATGAATTTTTTACCTGCCCTCACCTTTTAGGGATATGTGCTGAACTGTTGGCAAATAAAACTCTTTGATGTATGAAATTTGCTTCAAAATAACCCAGAAAGATTGGAGGTGGTAGGGCTGTGGAAGATGTCAAGATTGATCGTTGTAACTGTTGAATCTGAGTGATGAACACACGGGGTTCTTATTCTGTTTTTGAGCGCACTGGAAATTCTTCCTAATACGTTTCATTGTTAAAGATGAGGCACACCAGCGTGTGGGTTCTTGGGAACTGCAAGTTTAAGCAAAACGGCCTACTGTGTGCTGTAAACTTCACTTATTTATATCCGTTGGCCTGTGGTAAAATTGGTTTCATTGTATGATTCATCATTTCACTGGAAGCCACAGTTTCCAGAACTTGTCAGTGACTTCAAGCGAGGACTTAAGGTCGTCTGTGAACGCGTGAAAGGTGTGTGATTCATCCGTGTTGCTGGGGCGGGGTGGTGCCTGGGCTCTGGCTGGGCCTGTGCATTTCAGTCCCGGCATCTGCCTTTGGGCACCGGTCCTCAGGGTGCAGCTGGGCCAGCAGACCTGTGCTCCTAAGCTGCCC